ACAGACAGACAGACAGACAGACAGACAGACAGACAGACAGACAGACAGACACATAGATGGGTAGATAGATAGATAGATAGATAGATAGGTAGGTAGGTAGGTAGGTAGGTAGGTAGGTAGACTTCGGAGAAACAAGCAATCTCAGCATAACCGTGTCCGGTACCCCTCTGAAATTTGCAAAAGCACTATGATGCCACAGGTCCGAAGTTCGGAGGCCTCAAAAGGTGGGATGAAGGTAGGTAAATTTAAGAACCCCTCATATGAGGACTCTTATTTGGGAGCACCCCACCCAGCTTCATCCTTCAGAAGTGTTGCCAGTGTTCTGAATCCAACCAACCGAGCCTGTCAGAGCCTGAAAAGCACGGCTCTAGCACTGGATGCGCACACTGCGTTTCAAGCACCCGCGATATCCCGCGATTCGAGCACGCACGATTCCAGCGCCAGAGATTCGAGCATGTCCGCGAGACAAGCTCGTTAGCAGCTCAGGCACCAATTCCGCTTCAAGCTCGCGTTCAGAATTTTGGGTTAATTTCCCCCACCGCAGCCCAACAAACAAGAACACGGTCGCAGCCGTCCGAAAGCTCTCAAGGTAGACGGGTACACCAAAGTTAACAAAACCACTCACCCACAACACAGTAGTCGACCTCGAGCCGTGCCCATCGTCCTGCAGGAAGAACCTCGAATTTCTCGACATCTGATTCCTGTCTCGACATGCGGAACAGACGTGTCAAATCGCTGACAGGAACTGCTGCTTGGAACTTCCAGAGTGGGCTGCCGGCGGCTCAGACAAGCCGCAGCTTCTCAGCCGACCATGAGCTGACATTCGGCGCCGGGTGGGAGGTGAAGTGCACTGCAATCTAATAGGAATGCGAGGCCCGCTGAAAAGCAACCATCCATGCTATACCTGTGGGGGAGCGGAAATCTGGCGCAGGCCGATGGTTGTGTTTTCTGAGGATTCAAGCCTGCCTGGGCATGACGCGGTTCATCTTCTTTGACAATGCCATTAACGTCACGGAGGACCGACGATCTGTTCTGACACGGCAGCAGCTGGAGCCCACAGAGGCAAACCAGTAGCAGATAGTGGCAGGAGCTTTTAGTCGAGCAGCCTTTCATCTGGATATTCCTTTTCCTCTATATTGCCATCTCAGCATATGTCATTCTCAACTTAGCCGGCGGCTCAGATGGTCAACTTGCTCACCCGGTGCTCAGGGGCAAGTGTTGGTTCATCGTCAGTCATTCGGAGTAGGTCCCCCGTCAGTCCGGTTCATTCGCAGGTCACGGCTGTGATCTGCGAGAAGGCTCAGTCCATGACGCAGGCCCAGCCCGAGCGGAAGGGTGAGATGCCTAGGACGTAGTGCTGGGAAGGAGAATGCAGCGGAGATGGCTAAAGAGCTACGAGCAGAAGAGAAGAGGACTTTGAAGGCTCGGACCACACAGCTGCCGATTGAGGTCCATGGCGGTCCTGGCTTCAGGAGCTCAAAAATCTTTTCCTGAGACTTGATGCCGACGGCAGCGGACAGGCATTCTTGCCACGCCGTGGGTCAGTCGTTTGAGGTTAAATGGTATGTGCCGGGTGTCAGGTCACCATGGAGGAGTTTGATGCAGCCTTTACAGTCCCAGAATGCAGGCGAGATGGATGCCAAATTGCTGCGCAGGTTGTCTGCCACACCGCTGTGCTTTGCTATGCACATGGTTCGATCTTTGTGATGGGCACAGGGACAAGTTCCTGTTGCTGGGCTTCGATGAGGACGAGGCCAAGAGACTCTTCAAGGCGCATTACGCATTCCGGTTGGCTGATTCTTTTTCCAACGGTGCTCTTGCTGCTTCCAGCGAAACGATGGCATTGGCGAGCAGGTGCTCGATGCAGATGGTGAAGGGGAGCTCAGTGTATCTGAATTCACCAGAGGCTGGAGATTTGAACACTTTTTGCCAACTATTTTCCGAGCATGTCCGAATCTACCTTGATTCTCCAGGTATGGCAGAGGTGAAGGGCGAGGCAAGCTCCGGGAGCCTCTCTCCCTGACTCCATGACTGCCATGACTTTTGAGACAGGCGACATCCAGAGGAATGCTGATCGCGAAGAAGAAGGCACCGGACGCTGCATGGACAGCGCGGACAGGTGCGCCAATGCTTGGGCAGACGTCAGGCCGAAAAGCTGGAGAAGCTGTTGCTGAAAGCGCTTCCACCGGACACCACTGCCGGAGGCTAGTGGACACAACTGAAAGAGTAGAAGCAACAGCTCTCTTCCTGGGAAGGCGAGGGCGACCGGCTTGCGCTGGAGGCCAAACGATCAGTGCTGGGCGGCACAGTTGCCGTGCCATTGCGCCGCGAAAGGAGGCCGAGCCAGAGAGATTTGGTGATCTGCTTGAAACTCAAATGCCGGCAGCTTAGTGTGCCGAATGAAGTTTGAACTGCAAGCTTGGAAGGGGGCCGAAGATGTAGGCTAACCTGGGCAATCGGATGTGGATCGGAGGAAGGTTCCAGAGGTAGTGCTGGAAAAGGGCGGGGAGCAATTGCGTGGGGAGGCTGAGTAGGCAAGTAGCGAGTGCTCCGCCGACGCATGATGAAAGCCAGAAAAGCCGTAGGTCATGTCGCTCTGCATAATCCGAGGCGAGGCCTTGAGGAGGCAGCAAGACTTCGCAGGGTTCTTAGCACGGGTTGGGGTCGATAACAGGAGCTTTGTTGCTCTTGATCCATGACATTGGAGCCGGCTCTGCCATCAGAAGAGTCTTATTGCCTGAACCGCTGCAGGTCTGGACGACATACAGAAGCAGTGCTCCGTGGCAAAGTCTGCAGCAAAGGATTTGGAGGCACCCGCTGCGTGGCTGTGCGTCGCCATGACAGTTGGGACTTGACGAATCGACAACCTTTGACGAATCTCAGGATCTGCTCAACAAGATCCGAAAGAAGCAGGCTTCCCAGCAGCGAAGCCCAGGTGCCTTGGGTCCGCGCCGGCTCTGAGGGTCTCAACACAATGCTCACAAAGGTCGGGCTTGGATGCTCCTTCTCCAAACTTCGACTTCGAGGTGCACTGAGAGGCTGTCAGGAACGCCTGCGCCAAGTTGTAAATGTCAGCGGCTGAATGGCTGCTAAAGCATGTAGGGTGAAGGGATCCCACAGAAGTCAGTAGCAGTCTAGGCTGCGCAGGTTCTGAGGGAGGTCCTGTGCATCTGGTGCGGAAGATGGCACAGTTGTAACAACCAGGCTTTGCCTTGTGAATCTCTGCTCCCCACCCGAAACGCAGGATGTCTCTCAGACAGAGATGTGTTAATGTTAACGCACCCCGCAACACGCAAGAGCAAAAGCTCATGCGCCTGTGCACTTTAAATGGGCCTGCCGAAGCTGCAAGCCCAAAACAGCGGAGTCGGCAGAGTGCTGGTCACTGTTCGCCCGCTTACTGTGCAACATTGCTTTTTGCGTCGTGCCATCATCAACCAGCATCCATACGTTTTGCAGACAGGCAGCATATTTGCATAATGCGGAGGACCAAATTTATAGTCACTATAGTCACTATAGTTTTTTGCAGAAGCGATGTCGCATGTGTCTTCGCAATAAGTAGCTCGCAAAAGCAAAGATACTTCGTCGGAGATGGCGCAGGTTGGCATGTCTCCGTGCAGGCCAGCACTCTCTGGGCCGAGCGTCGTGTCTACAGCTCCACAGTGGGGCAGGATTCGGATCAAGCCTGCGTGCGGGGTGTATTGCGTCGTGGGCACAGTGGGCGCCCTGCGCGTGGCCAGCCTGGCTTGCCAGAGGGCCACAAGAGACAGACGTGGGAGAAATTGGAGCAAGCGAAGCGGCATTCAGATCTGCAACGCTCGGAGCGAAGGCCACGATGAACAGCAAGGAGACCCCGAAGTAATGTTGGTAATTGGCCAAGGTCACTGTCCGTGGGGAGAGGCAGGCACTGAGATGATGTCCCAGGGATTGGGCTTCCAGACGCCTGCCACATGGAGAGAGGCCGCCCAGCATCTGTGCAAGAAGCTGCGGCAGGCCGTTCCAGCACTCGGTGTCCATGTCGTCGATGTTGCCGACGCAGCCGATCAAGCACCGCAGGCGACGCTCTGCGCCTGCGTCAACGTGCCCAGGACGTCTTGAAAATCCTTTCAGTCTCCGACACGGCCCGCAGGTGTAGAAGCAAGCATTCATACGCAGTTGCAAGCACTACGTGCTGCTCGCCTTGCCCATTTGTAGCAGCCTGTGGGCCTGTGGTCGACCTGAGAAGCGATTCAAGAAGGTGCCTGCAGTCTGCAGTGTGCGTTTCACAGGGGCAGGCGTTCACTGCAGAGCCGTCGGACACAGGTGGTGCTTCCGAAAGTCTATATTCACATACGACATCCTTAGTTTGCGAGGTGTAGGTAGGGAGCAACATGGGATCCTCTAGTGCCTCTAGCGCACCTGGAGGTCCGCAGTGTGCCCTTGGATGTGCTCCAGACTGAAAGATGGTGTTTCCACGACTGGGTGTCCAGGAGTCTTTCGTCGTTGCTGTCGAGTGTGGCGGGAAGGGGCGGGCTCCACCTCTGAAACCTCTCAAAGCCTGCCGCTTTGGCTCGTGGTCAAGGCTTAGCATTGAGGCTGAGAGTTTAAAACATCTTCTGCAGGAAGATCTGCGATCGCCTTGCGCAGTCTTGCCGAAATCTTCTGATTCTGTCACCGTCCGATGGCAACAGCTCGGCAGCACATCTAGTTTCACGGCAACAGACTCGGCGCAGCGAAGCCGAAGTGCTACAGCAGTGTGAAGAACTTTGGTCAAGGCAAACATCTGAGGCACTGGGTTGGAATTTGTCATGATCTTGCAGTAGCGGTGTGTTGAAGATTGAGACCTGAGGACTGCCTTTATGCTCTGCTCTTTGCAGTGCATTTTGCACTGATGCCCGTGGAGTTTGTGGCACAGGAGCCCCAAATCGACACAGTGGAAAAGGTCTTCACACTTTGCACAAAATGCCTCTCCGAAGCCGTCGCGGCTGGCTTGGATTCCGAAGCTCGGGCTTGCCTGGCTTGCCAGGCGGGTGAGTGAAAACTATTGTCGTTGCGGTTGTTTACGCCGTAGAATTCTAGGCGGATTGGACTAGTTACTAGTTTACGGGGATTTTGGAATGTAAGGTGTGGGAATTGCATGAGCCAGGCTAGGATTTAAAGGCGCTGGCGGACACGTTTGCTGTGTGCGGCGGTTTCATGTCAAGCTTAAGATTCCAAACCAGAACGGCTGCGACGTCCGCGACCAGACCCAGATGTATCGGTGCACGGTCAGCCACGAGTCAGAGTCTCTGGCCAGTCTAGTTCGTTGCTTCGAACGTCGCAGCATCTTCGACTGCGACGCCCGAATTCCCGACCTGCAGTTTGATCCCTTAACTGAGTTCCGAGGGAATCAGCTGAGTCTCGAAGCGGCTTGGAAGATCATGGAGGGTCACTGGTCTTTGGACCCGTCAAGTTGTTCATGGAGGCCAGTTTTGGGTCAGAACCCAGCCTATGACTACTTTCCCTGCCAGTTCAACAGCTGGTACCGAGATCCGCGTGGGAGTCGAGGCTGGTACGATCCTGTTTTCAAAGTGGTTACACTGGATGGGCGCGAAGTCTGGCGCAAGCGCCACTACCGTGTCCTTCCAGGAGATGTGCTGGGTAGTTTTCGTCTGAGCACCGAAGACAATGGAATCTCCTTGCGAGAGTATTGGCGAATCGTGGATGCAGACGATGATCTAGCCTGGGCTGTCTTGCACTATGCTGGTGCCGCGCCGCGTGTCGGCCAAAGCTATACGGGCTCGTTGTTGGTTTCGAGAGACGGCTGTCTGCCAGATGCAATTCCCTCAGAGCGTATCGCCGCTGCCTTCCAACGAGCTGGTGTTGCAAAATTCGAGCTTTATGCGATACACCAGGGAGAGGCGTGCCTCGCAGGCGGAGACTGCGGGCAGCCACCACTGACCGAGTTCCGTGGTCTGCGCAGGTACACGTAGCCCAAAGCAGGCTACAAACAGCGTTTGCAAGGGGGTTATCGGGAAGTGGGCCCACGCTGGTACACAATTTCTCGCCTTCGAGCTCAGAGCATGCGTGCCACAGAGCACCGCTATGGCATTTTGCAGCTTAATCGATCTTTCCAAAATATTTCCCATAGCAGACATAGCACACTAGCAGTGGAAGGTCAGAGTGTACTGTATGCACAAAAAAGAAGAATGCTCAAGTCGATGTACAGGACAAGAAGGCCTGCGTCGTTGTAGATCAACTCCAAGCTGCCATGGAGAGCTGGTTGAGGCCGGCCCTAGACGAGCTGACCCAACAACATCTGCATTCGTTGAAAGGGATGGAAGCGTTGAAAGCGGAGCACAGGCAGTGGCTGCTTGGTTCATTATTGATGAAGTTACCGGAAGCATTCGAAGCAAAAGGTGAGATTTAAGGAATCTCAAGCGATGAACATGTCAATGTAATGTCTCGAATTCAAGGTGTCGTTAAGGCCATGTGCAGCTGTGAAGGTGTGCAACATATTCTGTCTGATCCGGGCCGTAGTGAAGTTCACTCCTGGTCCGGAGTGAGCACGAGCGCATTTGCAGATGTGTATGTGTGTGTGTATGCGTGTGTATGTATATGTGTATATGTATACACATGCATATATACATATGAAAGTTCTGTATACATTTTTAGAGCATTTGCATATGATTTTAATACACATGTGTGTGTGAAACCTTGTTTATAGGGGTCACAGAACTAAAGACTGCAGCGGGCCATCCGTCTTGTTATTGGTGGACCAACGAAGAGGCCAATGACAAGAGCTGAAAACGTGCCTGCACTAAAATTCGAAAACCAGATTGCAGAGCAAATGAAGATATTGAAGAAATCTGATGAGATGCAACAGGATGAAACAGTGAACATGAACAGACTGGAAAAGCTGATAAGAGTAGCTTGCTAACCCATGGTATTGGATTAAGGGTCATTCCAAGTGTGTACATCGGCCGGATATCTGTCATAGTGCCAGTCTTGAGGCTCCAGCTTTATGTAGAAAGCTCGGTGGCCAGAAGGATGAGCGCGACAGATTCTCCAAAGTACGCTCCTACGTAAATGCTGAAGGATCACGGGGCAGCATCTCTCCTCGTGCTGCTAAATGCGACATCTCCTACTATACAACTTGTGAACAGAAATGATTTCGCGTGCCATACAACTTGTGACCAGGACTGCTTTACCATGCGCGAAGTGTGCTCTTCTACATACCAGCTTGTGTCCAGCAGTGATCTAGCATACGTGGAGTATGCTCTCCTACATACCAGAGTTGTGGCCGGCGATGCAAGCATAAGGAATAGAGTGGTTGCGGTTTCGCCTGCCAGTTCTCGTGCCTACTGTTCATAGGTTCTGCTTAGCATCCCAACCACAACCCTTAACTTCAAACCCGTACGCTCTAGTGAGCAACCAAGGCCGTAATAAACAACCGTCACCTGCAGAGCCTTGAGATAGGTCATGTGGAATCAAAACAACTGAAGATTGGTTTTTAGGGGGTCACAGGCGCGTAAAAAACCTGGGTGATTACGGCACGCGACGGGCGTTTTCCTCGAGTTTTCAGGGCTTCGTCTTCTGAAACACATGGCCAGGCTCGAAAACGGGGAATTAGGAAAGCAAAGGCTAGTGTCGAAACATCCACTCAAACTGGGGTTTTGTGCATACACGGTCATATTTTGGCTAATTATCTGGAATGTAATATGAGAAGATGCGCTAGGAAATCTGAGCCAGAGCCTTAATGAAGTCTTGCGACAGGGACTGCTGATACCTCCAGACGAATGCAAAGAGGTATCTAAACAAATCAGGATGCACTTCCTCGGCATTGAAAGAGACCGGCATGGGTATGTCCACCACTCCCCCGAGAGACGGAACATCCATGCACTCATCGTTGGACTGCTTGGTCTGAGGCTCCTCGTCCGAATAAACAGAAAGCACATTGGTTTCTCGTCTTCCGCTGGCAGCAAACGAATGCGAGCAGAGTTTGTTGGGCCCTTGCAATGTCGAGGCAAGGGATCCAACTCCGCCAAACCGAGACTCGCCCACGACTGCGCAGCTGCCTCACACGTGTGAGCATCCATGCTCAAGCGAGCAGCAGCAGACTGTTTCAGTCCACGGCAGCCAGACGCCAACCGGCGCCATCGAGCACATTCCATACCGGCAGTTGTCATGACCATTGCGTTGTGCATAGTGAGACTCAGAACTACCAGTCAAAGTGTTGTGTCAACGCAGCATGAATATTGTATCGCATGAATATCACGGTAATGTCATGATTGTCAGTATCATTGTAAATATCACAGTTATATCATGATTGTGAATATCACTATTAATATCAATGTTATCATCATGATTTTAAGTTTCATTAGGAATTTCACAGGTAGCATTGTCATAGTCGACCCCAAGCCCAGTATCATGTGATGACCATGTGAATCACCATCATCATCATCTTCATCACCTAGAGCAGCACGGCGACGAGAGGCACCTGGAGAAGCAGGAAACGACCAGTTTTTTTAGGTGCCTGTTTCCTTTTAGGGGGGGCGTAGCAAAAATATATATACACACACATACATACACATATAGATGTAGATGTGCACGTATGTTAGCATATCTGTCTATCTGTCTGTCTTTCCGTCTATAAATGAGACGGCTATGGCTACTGATCTCCAAGTACTGCATGCTCGGACGGGCTAAGGCGAGACGACGTTGCATCACTGATCAACAAACTCGAACTACGACTGGATGCTCCAAGCGTTTTCAAGGCGGACTCACTGTTGCTGGCGAAGCTGCCACAAAAGCCAACGGGGCAGCCGAGACCGACGAAGCCGATGCCTGCGGACGGAGATCTGCAACTCGGTCCTGCTTTATTGGGCTTGCTTTCACTCACTGGAAGTGCTCCAGTTCCGTGTCAACTCAAAGCTAAGCTTGGAACCAAGGGACCAGCCAGGCAGTCAATGGTTATTAGCAGCTGTTTTCTGCTGGATACCGTATGAAGTAAATCTGAACCTGTCTGAATACACTGAGTGCGGAGCAGCTGGAAACACGAGACACCGTCGAGCACAGAGGTAATTATGGCAACACGTGCTACCCCAAAATAGAAAGTTGTGAATCTCCAAGACACGCAAAGCGCATATGCGCACACACACACACACACACGCACACAGACAGAGGCACGCACCATCTCTCCCACGGCTTCTGGGTCCCATGTTTTCGATATTTGGTTCCGCTGCACACATAATCTGCTATTGTCAAGTCAATCCCGCAGCCACGGAGGTGCGACATTTTCCTGGAAGACGTCGACAGAGTTGAAGGGGACTCGCGAGATCCCCAGAACGTACAGGATGTCCCGGAGCTGGCGTTCGCTCCAGAGGAGACCGCTACGGAAGGCGCAGATAGGGCTTAGAACTTAAGCTCACAGTTTTCATGGTTGCCTCTGGGCTTGCAGCCTGCAGTTGGAGGGGTTCATGATACTGCTGCAAGCAGTTTTTGTTGGATGCGCAGTGTTGCGGAGCTTTCACCTACTTTACGTTCACTAGCTGTCGCTTCACTAATCGATCGAATCGAATTCAGCGGCTGTTGTCTTGGTGTGGCAAGGCCCGGCATTGCAGAACGGGATCTCGTTCAAGAAACTGCGGATCTCAACCGTGCAGAACTTCAAAACAGCTCCTGGTCCACTGCGCAAGGCCTGGGTCAAATGTGTGCTCGAACGTCAGATGTCCATTTCGTTGATCGCAGGTGATCAACGAGATTCTGGAAGATGCATTGGAGGCCTGGGCCGCCTGGGCCGCCTGGGCCGCCTTGGCCTGGCTGTGAGCAGTCCTGTGAACACTCTGAGCTTCAGGCGGCAGAGGAGAAGAGGGAGAATCAGAAGAAGAAAGCCAAAAGGCTCTGGCCCTGTGAAGTGGCGGAGCGTTTGTTAGCTTCGAAATGGTTCGAGATCGCCGGGGTCCCGGTGCTGCGGCTGTACATCCAGCAGCCTTCCCAAACAATTTGCTTTTAGGTCACCGGCATGATCATTTTTGTCAACATGCTCACCATTGGCATTGAGGTTCGGATATCTTTTCTGCTCCCCAGAAGGTAGCGCAGAAGCATGTCGTGGCATGTCCTTGACAGGCGCAGCTGTCGCTGTCGCGTACTGGTGTTCCTGAGTGGGTTGAGACTATGGAGAGTGCCTCGCTTTAAGACTCACCGATGGCCGCGGCTGTCAATTCGGATGGTGATACGTACTGCTTGCAGCATCTTGCAGCTCAGAAGCCTTCTTGTTCGTCTACACGCTGGAGCTTCTAGCAAGAGTCATGGCAGGAGGCGGCTGCAGCTCTGAAGGTAGGTAGCTTCGAGTCTGTGACAAGCTTCGCGAAAATTGCGAGGTTTTAAGGCGTTTTGGAATGCCTGGTTTCTTCTGGATTTCTTTCTGGTGGCGGTGGGAGTGCTGGCGATAATGCTGAGATGGCTTGGACCAGATTCCCCGTTGAGCATTGACACTGGAGTTGCATTTGCGTGTGCCCTTTTGCTGCTTGTGTGTGTGTGTGTGTGTTGGTTCCTTGTAGCACAGCCAAGGATGGTTTCGAGCTTTTCGGCTTCGAACATGCTGCCACGTTGCGGCATTCATAATATGCTGCTTGGCACTTGTCTTGAAACACAGGAAGATTCTCGTCTTCCGCGCCTTGCGTCTTCTCCGCCTGGTACGAGTGGCTGGTCTGAAGCTGGTCCAGCGTGTGCTGCCTTTCTGACTTGAAGAAATCGTGTCATTCTGCAAGACATCTGTGCAGCCCATTCCGGGCTCTGTCATCGGAGAGGGCACAAGACTGAACAAGAGAACAAACACAAGCAACGGAAATAAGGCACTGCGCATGTTCGAGCACTTCAAAGTGGTACCTGGGTCAACTGATCAGTCTGTTTGCACAAGGTTTCGCAGCTGACGGAGCTTCTGTGCGTATGATGGCTAAACGTTGGGTCGTTCATCTTAGCCTCAAATCTTGTTGAAGCTTCTACAGTGATTCTACAGATCCAAAGATTGTAGCAGTTCTGCACGCCTTTGAGCGACGGTTTGAGCAACTGCTGCTAGGTGTGGCATCTGGTCTATGCCTTGCTGTCAGCTGGGAGAACCGTGCTGTCGGCAACAGCTCTGATCGCGTTCACACTCTACATCTTTGCTTGTGTCGCGGTGGAGATCATCACGAAGGCAGCAAAGCAGAGTTTTACATTGTACCGTGCTGTGTCCAGGAGTAGAGGTCGCAGCAGTGCCCGTTGCAAGGGTCATGTTTTCCTTGCCTCTGTCATGCTATAGTTACACGCCAGCCGCACAGGATGCGGTTATCCTCGACAATGCCGAGACCTATGAGAATCTCGGCACAATGAGCACCTTCTTGCAAAAGGGTTGCCGGAAAGAAGCATGGATGGCACTTCCCGCCAGGATCGTGCAGACCTACTTCAGCAGTTTGCCCCGGGCGAGCCTGACACTCTTGCAATTCGTGACACTGGACTCGATCGCAGCAGTGTATTCGCCGCTGATTATGACCCGACCGTACCTGGGAGAGCTTCGGCCTGACATAGGCATGCAGACCTTGCGTTCGTTTGCAGGTTGAGCCCCAGGAACGGGAGCCTCTTTGCAGTTTGAAAGATGTCGTACCTGGAAAGAGCTTGACCTTAATTGTGAGTTTAGTATTACTACTGTGAGGTTTATTTTGCATCCATATTGATCTTCGTGTCCATCGGGCTGATGAACCTCATCACGGCGGTGATCATTGAAGGTGAGAGAGCTTCTCTGTCAGTAGTTGACAGAACTACTGTCGATTGCCCATGCGGGTTTCCGAAGAGGCGCAAGCTTGTCTTCGCATGCCCAGCTTGCCGACAGGCGCCATGGAATCCTCCAAAGAAAAGCGGGAGGAAGAGAGAATGGAGATGAAAGAGACCCTGAGCGCGCAGCTATGTACGTTCCGTTGTAAGATGTTCCATGACCGCTGGGCCCATGCTCGGCTATCAGAAGCCATTGTGCCTGGAGCCCCAAATCCAATAATCTAGCTTCCCAGCTTCATCGCATTGAAAACCTGCGCTCGGATCCAACAGAAGCCAAGTTTGACTTAGGAAGATCCGGCAGTCATTGCCTGGACTCTTGGATATGTTCTTCAGCCTGGACACCGAACGCACCGGCCGTGCCTTGGATTCGTTCTTGGCAAAACTCGGATGCACTCGTGCGTGACTTAAGCGCATGCCAGAGCCAAGAGCAGGAAACTGAGATTGGTGTACTTCCTACTCGTCGATAGTTTCAGCTCTTTCGGGTTCTGATCAACAAAAGTGCCCCGCTGGCCCAGCAGAAATTGTGCAGGGTGGGCGGCAACACGGTAGGTGCGTGCGTGGCATGCCGTTTGTGGCAGGCGTGCTTGGGTCACGGAGGGTGTTTGCACGAGGCATGATGCGGCAAGCAGTCACATGAACTTCGCTCCTGTTTTCAAAATGGAACCCTAGCTCACCGCCGAGACGTGCCCTCAATGGTCGATCAGCATGCACACCTCTTGTTGCGCAGCACGTGATCTCCACTGATAACAAGCCCTAAACCCTGAACCCTAGACCCAGCAACACGTTGCAGTGAGAACAGATGTGGAGCCAGGTTGTGCCCTTGTGCAGTATGGGTAGGTTGGAGCAATAGTCAAAGTGGGCCCGCATTCTGTTGTCACACACCTGACAGGAGCTGGGAAGAGCAGTACATGGAATGCTAGGTGTAGGTGGTAGAATCCCCCATCAGAGTGTTGCTGAGCTCCTCGTCCCAGGCCTCAACCAACATGGTATTCCGGACCCTTCAGGCGAAGGAAAAGAGGTGATAAAAAAAACCCTAAACACTGAACCCTAAACCCTGAACCCTCAACTTACCAGGGTTTATATTTTAGAGTTTCAGGGTTTAGGGTTTAAAGTTTAGGGTTCAGGGTTTTAGGGTTTTAGGGTTTCGGGTTGAGGGTCTAGGGTTTTAGGGTTTTAGGGTTTAAAATTTAGAGTTTAGGGTCTAGGGTCTAGGGTTTTAGGGTTTAGGGTTTCAGGGTTTAGGGTTTTAGAGTTTTGGGTTTAAAGGGTTTAGGGCTTTGCGGCTCCAGTTTATTCGAGCTTCTCAACAATTGTACGGCACGTTGTGGGTTGTCAGTTTGCATGAGTGGGATCATGGCGGGACCAGACCGCCAACATCCGCACAGCTATCCGCAAGTCTGATTTGCTTGTTGAGCCTGCGCAGAGGCATCAGCAGAGATCATTTGCAAAACAATGCATTGCAGCATTTGCCGCAAGCTTTGCTGGACAACCTGCCCATTGCCACTTGCCTGCAGTTGCCATCGGAACCTAACTCCCAGAAGCCCGAAGCAGTGAATTGGCAGAGATGTAGGGAGACCTTTTCGACAGGATGACGTTGTAGACCTCTTCGACATCTTGGACGTTGATGAGAATAACTATCTGACACAGGCGGAGTTTGTCGAAGGCCTGCTGATACTTGCCCGAAACTGAATAAAGCGGTCGCATCGTCGGCAGCTGCAACCACATGCAGGGGGCATTAGCAATCCGTTTCCCTCCACAAGCACGCAGCAAACCGTGCCGTCCAAGAACTCTGTTGCACATGCTCTGAACAACAGCGCTGTTGGAGGATGCATGTCGGAACACACATGTGCTACTCTGGCTGATTGCATCGGGCACTGCTACGGTGTGCAGAGCCAAACGGCAAAGCACGCCTCGCTGAGGGATTTGGAGGTCCGCAGTCCATGAATGTCGATCCGTTTGCTAAGGAACATGGCCTTACTGGATACACCTCTGTGGAACGTCCAAGCCTTGAAGCTACTGAGACGAATCGCGCACGTCACAACGCAGATGCATGAAGATAGCCTTAGATTGAGTGAAGAAAGATTGAGATCTGATGATGGTGTTCACTCGTCGCATCTCTGATGCTTTTACATGTCACCATTGCAGAGCAAGGAACCCACCAAGTGGGTTCCTTCTATACTGCAGAGCAATTCTGGGACAAGCGAGCCTATGGCCGCGATCCCACGACTTCCTCGAAACAGCGGCAAACCATCGGCCAGAGCATTTCGACAGCCATGCTGCGGCAGCCACCTACACCTTGTCCCTGCTCACAACCACTCTTTCTGATAGCTGACGGATTTGACGAAGAGGCTAGTGCTAGCGTCCGTGCAATGCTGAAGCAACTGATGGGCAACAGACAAGCCTGGACCCTTGCAGGGATTTGCAGCATCTGTAGGCGCGCCATCTGGGGTTTGTGACGTTGCACGGGCAATGGCGGGTGACGAGGGTGTCGATCTGACAGCGGAGGCTAGGACAAATCTCTGCATGAAGTCATCAAGTCGAGATCAGCATTATGACAGGCGATGCAGCTGTCCGAGGTCAGCAAAACAGTGGCTGGAGGAGGTGCCGGCTTCTTGCACCTGCTTAAGCGGAGCTGTCCAGTCCAGCTGCTAAAAGGACTGTCATCCATGAATCTGCAAGCATTCTTCAAAGCCCGATTGAACCTGCATACTCCAAACAGATGCAAGCTGTCAGGAGAGACGTCCACCATTCTCAGTACTCGTAGGACCTAAATTGAGAGGACGGGTGCATGCATCCTGAATGGGGCTTAGAGTTTGTGGAGGCTTTGTCTACTCGCGCATGGATTGCTGGCCCCTTAGTTTCTCGACGACCTGCTCTGGAAGAAAATCCATATTTGCCTTACAGCTCCGAGGCATCGGCAAGCAGATTGGTCGTCTCGGACTTCTTGCCGAGCCCAGCGCCTATCTCTGCAGCTGTCAAGGGCTGGCGTGAGCTGTGTGTGTGCAAGCAAGGTATCCGTTCCTTCGACACCTGGACTTGTCACAGAACAGCATCAAGGACCCCTTCGCTGCTAAGACCAAGAGCAGACGGTCCTTCGCCTTCAAGGGCTACTTGACACGGCATCCTTAAGACGGAGCTCCAAAGCAGTGTTTCCAGTGTTTCTTCCGTGCTTAAACTGGCTGAAGGATGCCAGTCCAGTGGGCAAGCTCCAACATGTACTTTCACTCAACCTCTCGTGCTGCTGCCTACGCTTGAGGGCTCGATCACTCGTTCCGTGTAGCGAAGTTCGGAAGCCTCGGGCCTTTGACTTGGGGCAGCTCTGAAGTTTGAGCGGGAGCGGCTTTTCGCAGCAGGTCCAACGCAATCCCCAAGCTGGACTGGGCGGCGCAGGCCAGTGCTCTCGGCATGGGTTGCCGTTCGTGGCACTTGCCCATGCAGGAGCTTCCTCACCTGCTATTCCTCGATTTGAGCAACAATCAGCTGCAGCAGCTGCCGCAGTGCCTTGACACATCTTGCAGTGCCTTGCAGTGCCTTGACACATCTCGTTTTTGACTTCTTCCGAACTCGGAGCTGAGGCTTCACATGCCAGCGCTCAGGACACCGGAGAGACGAAGGGAAGCACACCGTCACAGCGCGATTTTCTGAGGCGGGCCGACTTCCGCTTCAATCAGATTTCCACGCTGCGAGCTTAGGTCCGTGGTGAAGCTGTTGAAAAAATTGTATCTGCTTGCCACAGCAGTGGAAATGTGGCGGCTGCCCAGGTGCGCCGACTTCCAGGGCCATGCAACTTTGCAGACGCTGCGGCTTTCATCAAACCAGCTGGCTTCTGTCCGGCCCCCAGCTCGTCCAGACGGGACAGCCGCTTCCATCCCGACAAGTTCGACTGAGGCAGCTGGATTAAACAAAAGCCCAAAACTTGAGGTTTTGGAGGCCTGGGTCGCGAAGCTGTCGTTGAGCTTTGCATTACTGGCAGCTTGTAAATACTGTTGCAGTTGAGCGAAAATTCGCTCGCCGACCTCAACGACGTTTACAGGCCGGCCTGGAGGGCAACCGATGTGACAGGATGGTGGCCTTCATGTGCCTTACCAAGTGCAGCTTGCTAGAGTAGGGAAGGTGGGCCGACTGATCTCCGAGCTTGCTTCGGGTGGAAGCCAGATATATCACAGACCAAGCCAGAAGTTTCGCTTCCACTCGGTGTATGTCAGTGCATGTATCTGGAAATCGACAATTTACACCTCCTGCCTGGAGCATGTGAGACGATGCGAATATCATCGAAGATCCAGATTCACAGGCTTTGATCCAGAAAGACGAGACGGGACCTTTGGGGTCCTGCTTAGCAGATGTGCAAAGGCCTCTTGTAAAGCGTCTTTGAACAAACTCGACCGCGAGTAGCAAATTGGCATAGGATGATCAACGGACTAAATCGTAGAATCTTGAGGTCACCTTCGGTTCCCCTTTCGGCTAGCAGGCTTCCTTGCCTCTCCACGCTGGAGATCTCCAAGAATAAGTTTGAATCGTTGATCGCCCCCTGGCATGAAATGGTGCCTCCGCCCTGTTATTGATCTTGTCCAAGACCTCGCGCAACCCCTCTTTCGATCATCTGGCGTAGCACGCAACAGGCGGCCCTCAAAGTCCTGGACGTCTCCCAAAACGCCTTCGCCGAAGCGTCGGCCCTGAAGCCCCTGGAGGTGATGAAAGAGCTCAGGCGAGCTGCTTCGAGTTACGACGCACCGTGAAAAGTAGCACGCCGTGTGATGCCCAGGAGCCTCGTTGTGGCGGGCTGTCCTCTTGAAGAGCAGGCGGCCAGTGTTATCATTAGCACGCCTTCATGCGTAACAAACCATCTGGCGGTTTCCAAATCACACGAGACGGGATCCCATGGATGATGCTGTCGAAATCAACCGCTTCGAAGCAGATTCTTTAGAGCAGACATGAAATGCCTAACATTGGCGGAGCTTCTTGCCAAATTGACCTCCCTCGTGCCCGCTGTAGCCTCGCAAGTAGACTCCTTGAGGCCCCGGCATGAGAGAAAGACCTGTGTGAGCACCGGTCCAACCTTAAATGTCTGCACAGCATTCCGAAAAAGACGGAGACGGAACGGCCTTAGCTCAGTGCTAGCACGAGATCTGCCTCGAGTTCCAGGATGGCGTAAACATCCGCCTGGAGATCCTCATCTTTCAAGGGCAACTCCAGACACTGAATGGTGAGGAAGCAGCGAGCTGAGGAAATCTTCGGTTCCCTGGGCCTGTTCAGCGCTTCCTTGCGAGAACCTTTCGCAGACTGTAGGTGACACCAGAGGAGAAGGAGGAAGCCAAGGCGCTCCACGAAAAACGCTTGGAGGAAGAGGCTGCGGGGCTGAGCGAGAAGGTTAAAAGACCTTCGGCACGTCGCAGTATTCATCAGACTTCCTTGAGTCCACAAATCTAAGGCAGAAAGACTCCGCCAAGAAGAGGAGGCGTGGACTCGTGGACCATGATGGATTCGAAAAGCTGCGCTGCTAGCGGCTTTGTCTGGCTCGAAAGGATGCTTTAGAACCCTTCGCTCCAAGGAGTTGAACAAAGGTCTCTTTTGCACGAATTTGAGACGAATGCTGTCTCTCGCACTGGCACCGCAAGGAGCAAGGAGCAAGGGACGTTCTGCCATACTCGTACGTTTAGGTTGCTAAGGGTTAGCACTAAGAAAAATGCCGTCATTCCTGACTGTGCAGTTCTCTGCTTTCGGTGCTGCAGGCGAGGCTCGAAGCCGAAGCCGCTGCAGCCGAAGCTGCTGCCGCAGCCGAAGCTGAAGCAGCCCTGCAAGAAGGTCCCTCCTGAAGCCTGGAACCAGAAGTAGGACGAGTAGACAGGAAGCATGACCTGGACTTGGCCATTTCAAGGGTTCTTGTAACTCCGGCCTCGTCACAGCTCGGCTCAGCCAGGAATTCAGATCGGACACAGACCTCCCATGCAGCCCATGGCAGAACCATTCAGCACCTTGCATCCTTAGCCACAACTGAGCAGGTGATCAGAGTAGCAGGTGCCATGAGTTAGATCGTAGACATCAATATGCAATTCTTTCGGCCAGGCTTTGCACCCCATGTGGGTCCCTTGCAAAGCAAAATGCACCGAAGAGAGTGTGCAAGCATCAGAACATGCTTCAACTACCAGCACCCCTTCCATAAATGCCTCGAGTCATGGAGTTGCGCTGCGCATTTGGCTGAGTTCTCGCGGGATGGCTGCAACTCGGCTTTCTTCAGAACCTAGGAGGAGAGGCCGATCGGCTGCAACCAGGGCTTTCACTGCCCAGGCGGTCGACCTGGAGGGCTACCAAAGAGCGTGGCGATTGCGGCATGGCTCTGCAGACGACGAGCTGATGCGCCAGGTGCACTCAGGGCTCTTGTGGCATTCAGCGGATGGAGGAATTGCTGGATGTCTGAACGGCTTTCCAAGAATTTCTCCAGGTCTTTGGGCAAGAGCTCGACGAACTGCAAAAGCAGCTCGGATGTTAGAGTCATGGGATGTGTGCGAAAGAGTTTCGTCCATGAGGAAAAGCCCGCAGCTGCTGGACGTGGCGAGATCGTACTTTCCCCACCTCACCTCATCCACGTGGCTTGTCTGCATCTGACCCTGCGCTTGCGGTGACCTGCCTTGCCGAATGTCGAACTTTCAGGTACGAGGCTTTGGCCCGAGAGCCCGACAGTTTGCGCCTGGACAAGGACCGCCAGAGTCGAGGCACTCCGACTACTCCGACAAGTCCTGCTTTAGCCCTGCCTGACTCTCTGGGAGTTACGAGGACCGCTGCGAAAGAGAAATGGAGCAGCTGGCCGTGCAAAACTACAGCGCATTCATCGGCAGTGCTGAGGTCACGCAGGGAGTACGACAGGAGAACCGGGCAACGGGAAATCTTCAGACCGCGAGCATGCAGATCATTGCAGGAGCTGTCGAGCATTCAAGCCAGCTTGCAAGAGTCAGAGGCTAAGCTTGGCAAGCTTCCAGACCAAAGCAATCCACACACATGCTGAGCGCATGAGCACATGCTCAGCTGCTGCAGAGTGTGCGGCTCGGTAAGGATGGCCGAAGTCCTGGAGCCCGCCCAGGAGAGTCAGAGCCAGGGTTTTCAGACACGCGTCTCCTTGCCTCGGAGATCCCTTGAGGAGACCATCTCCCAGCTGCAGGATAAAGCAACAGGCTGGTCACTCGTCGGGTAGTGCCATGAGATACTTTCAAGAAGGGGCAAGGATGCAAGCGGCGCAGGCAAGATTACAAATCCGAACACACTCTATCTGCAAGAGACATGGTGTCCAAATGGTAGAAGCTACATCCAAAGCTGGGAGGCCTGGGTGCACGGCGAGCTGCCCTGCGGAACGTGTTGCTTGGCTTCTGGTTTAATGCGGAGACATTGCATAAAGTCTCGAAAGATCGCGAAAGGTTTTTTTAAGCACCTAGAAGAAGGGCCCAAAGTCGCTTCCAGGCTGACGCAGCACGGCGCTCTGCTCGAGCTCCTGGAGCTGCCTCAGCTGTGGCCCGCCAGAGATCGCAAGCGCTGAGCTTCGCTTAGGCTTTTGTGGGGTGGGTGAGTGTGCCAATCTGTGAAGTACCGCGGATCCCCTCCTCCGGAACTTGTTTCCAAGGAAAGATTACACCACACTTCTCAACACGAGGTTAGATGCCTGTGTCCGGAATCAGATGTACGAAGAGTCCTTGGAGCTTCTTGTGTCCTCGGCTGCACAAGGGCTCCCAGCCCCAGCTCTGAGTCCGGGCTTGGGAGATCTTTGTGGTTGGGTGAAAGCTTCATCATTGGGGCTCGTGCGATGTCCATTTTCGGCCCGATTCGGTCGTTTGATTGCAAGATCCCGGCAGCACTCGCAGCTAAGGCTTTTTGCAAGAGCTTGTTGCAAGCACATGAAGCGCGCGGGGAAGACATCCATGTTTTGACGCACATCAAGGATCAGGCCTGCCTAGCTTTGCCAAGAAAAGGTCCTCCTTCTGCCTTCCGAAGCTTCGCATAATTTGCATGGGATGCCTGAGGTGGCTGTGCAAAGGACTAACCTCCGCGATTCCTTGGCGGCGCAGCTCAAAACGGAATCCTTGCAGCAATTGCAGGGTCAAAGCATTGCTACATCAGGGACGGCCATGACAAACCTTTCCCCAATACTTCTTCCTCAACTGCGTGCCTATGCCTGAGTTGCCGAAAATGCTGTGCCGGATGGTTGCACCTCCGGGTTGCGTGCTCAAGAAACGTGCGGTGTTGAAGGAGAGCGGGATTTTGTACTGGGTTTTGTGATTTGGGGAACGCGCGCAGCGGTTGTGGGGCTCTCGCCGTGGATTCGCGCGCACATGTTTGACAAAATCGCCTTCTTTCCGCCGTCTTCGGCCCCTCTCACACTTCCGAACCTGATGAATCTTGCGTACGCCTGCGGCATGCATAACGGTCACGTAAAGGTTTTGTCAGGGGGAAAAAAGAAAGAGAAGGTGGGCCAGACTGCGACCGGTGATTTGGTCGAGGTTTGAAGCCACACCCAGGTGAAGTTCCTTCGCCTGTCGGTTGGTCGGTCGGTTGATCATTTGTCGAGGAAGCCGATGTGAACACCACGTCGATTCAGCATGAGCACGAGTTTTCACGGCATTAACAGGAGTGTTCACGGCATGAGCATTGGTAAACCAAAAATGTCTGGTCACAGTCCCGTGACGTCGTGTGCTTAGTTTGCTTGCAGATCGCTCGAAGTCACGAAGCTCCCAGCAGGGCCACACTTTGAGTTCTCGCGTGTTCCTGCCACAGTCCCTTCATAGCCTCCGAAACAGTCTCATGCGGTGCGCATTTTGGACTCATGAGGCGGGCCTCAGAAGTGCTGGAATGTTTTTTGACTATGTCGGGCTTGGACTACTAGGTGTTCTTTCACTATTTGGGATAACTTTCTGGATTTCATTCTTTGGGGGCACGAGTGATTCACTTTCCAGCCTCTCCTAAAATATCTCTCAATCTATTTTCCGGGCCACGATTCCTTCTTTGCATGCCGGAGTCTGCCGCAGACTTCGATCTGATAAGGACATCCATCTTCCAGCCTGCGTGCGCATCGTCGGCTTCTTGCGGCGGGTGCAGCGCCACTCCGAGGACGGAGTCCTCCGATGCTGTATAAATCGGGGAGGGGTCGTACGCAGGCCACTGCTCATTGTGGTTGGTAACCTTCCAGACATAGTGCCATAGTGCATCATAGTACCGACATCCTTGTCTCACCCAGGAAGCGGAATTCACGGAACACTTCGCAGTATCGACACACCTCCAAGTAAGGAAACTGTGGATCCGAAGACCCCGCCAGAAATGTACAATGTTATTGTTCACGGAGCTCGCTTTAGCTGTTGCATGCCTATTTCAACTTGCTGCTTGTAGAAGTCGAGTCGCTACATTCCAGTATTATTAAAGTCGTGGGGCAGCCGGAAGTGTCAGCGGTCATTTGCAAAGCTGTAGTCGGGACGCAAAGGAAAGCACTGCTGAGTCCCGACAAATGGCCAGGGTTTTCAGGAGGTAGGAAGGACCGTGGACAGCGTATGCAGATGGCCTGGGCATTCGCAGCACAAGAGAATCAAACTTGGCGTTCTAACCCGATTCCCTCGCTGACTTGTGCTGTGACATACAGCATGGCAAAGGGGCATGCACCCGTTCCGAGTAGACGGCCTCCAACTTTTGTCACGCCCGTTGATACACAAAACAAAGCCATGAAACTCATGACGGCGCGACTGTGTGCCATCGGCCTGTGTGATAAACCTGCCTTCTTGTACTATGTTTTTTGTATCTTGCGGACGAGCATGAGAAAGGCAAAACATTGAGTTCCATAGACCAGCTTCCGCTAGATCAAGTTGAGCCATGTTCCCGGATCGGATTTGAGGGTTTTTGTTGGGGGCAGACGCAGGATTTGTACGCTGTTTTTCGTCGTCATACTCTGTCACAGATTGTTCAGCGTGGTGGGTCCTATTGGTGCTACTGTTCATGGAGGAAATGTTGCACCGCTTAGCACACAAACAAAGACGTCTCACCCAGCACCCTGTGTAACATTGCCACGAAAACGCAATTTTGCGGATTTGGCTCGATGAACAAAATCTTGCACCGCCCCTTCAAGACCTGACACATCGCGCATGAGGGGGCGCGGGGTGGTTAAGTAGGTGGTGCAAGATTTCCTCCATCCATCGTAGCAGATGCCTCTTCTAGCCGCTTTCACCGGGTCACCCGGGTCACGTCGCGCCAGGAAGAACTGCGTGAACTCTTCATCGAGTTCCTTGGCGTTCTTCCTTTGGGGAAGCAGCAGAACGGGAGGATGCAGGGAACGCGGGAGAGCTAAGGCATCGCAGCAAGTTCCTGGATACCCACAAGCAACAGGTTGAACTCCTGCGCCACAGCCGTGGCAGTGCAGGATCCTCATTGTACCCGGGTTTAAGCAAAACGGCATGGCGATGTCTGGGACTTGGGGTTCGTAACCCATGAACATTGCACAGCTCGTGGAGGTGGGGACGGCACTGCGGAATGCAGCTGATCTGCTGCGGACGCATCTCGCCGGTGCAGTACTGACTCAGTAGCTTTCTCTCCTTTCTTCCTGACACTGTTTCTGGTTTCTTCTGGCCCGGAGGCACGTGTACGACATCGGCACGCAGTACAAGGCAACGAACATGTGTGCACCCAACGTCATAAGTCATACGGCTGCCTGGCGACCCTCTGGCGAGCTTCAGTCCGTTCGAGAGGCTCTTTTCCCACAAGACGACGGACCCCTTGGGACTTGGCTCAACAGCCAGGTCACGTGCCTCTTCTGCATACTCGCAAGGTGCAGGGTCAAAGTTTGAGGAGTGCAGTCAGGGACCTTTGAATCCATTATGTTGGATTCAGCGTTGCATGGGCATGTCATGGCATGGCATGGCTGAGGTGGTTGATGATGCTGCTGCGCTACCATGTGCTGCCCTCGAGTTCGAGTGCGAGTGACCCCTGCTTGCAAAGATGTGCTAAAATCCGCATGGCTTGTTGGCGCGCTACTCGCATTGGTTCAGTTCTCATCGCCGCGCAGTGAACAAGCCGAAACGACTCATGTCGACGTCCTTCCGAGAGACGAGATCACTTTATGACTTTTTGTTGGCAGTTCTCATCGTTTGCTCACAATGTGTGTGCTCGAATGTGAACATTGGCCAAGGGCAAAGGCTCCACGACGACACTCAGCGTGCCTCGACTTGACGAACGACCGAAACCACGCCTGACACCTGTACGAAACCACGCATAGCATGGAGCACCTTGATGGCGGTGCTGCCGCGTCGCACTGTAATCGGATTGCAACGGTTTGCATTGGAATCAACACTGAGTATTGACCAATTCCTAAGGCAAAGATCGACGCTGCACAGCTGACGACTGTCCTCCGACAGTGTGTCCATGCATCGTCTACGCTGAAGCGATTAGGCAGGCTTTAGCTTGTCACACCGAGATCCTCGTGTCATCGGAACCCTTGCTGTCATATTGTCCTTCAGTGGGCTCGTGATGTTGTAACCGGTTGCATTCAAAGACTCGTGTGGATGTATTTTCCATGACTTTGGTGGAGAGACTACAAGCCGCAGGTGGGCATTTCTTTCCCGCAGTGGCAGGGATCTTCGAGGCCACATGATCGAGCAAATGACAAAGCGAGATGCGAGAGATAGAGACGGACAGACAGACAGACAGACAGACAGACAGACAGACAGACAGACAGACAGACAGACAGACAGACAGACAGACCTACAGAAGTGGCATCCTTTTCGCCCTCAAACCTTCCGAGCGAGCGAGTGAGCGTGCGTGCATGCATGCACATACAATACGTATCAAGCAACCCACCTCAGGACCAACTGCAACTGCACTGTTGTCTTCGAAATCTGAGTCAAGTGTCGGCACACAGAGCAGCTCGAGTCGCTTTTGATATTGGTCGGCATTCTCCACCGGACATTTTTGACTCACAAGATAGGCAAGCGCACTGGGACCTAGGGATTTGCTCTCATGATGACCAATACAAAGTAATATTGCACCCCACAACAGCACTGCCAGACCTCAAGCTTCGAGGGTCCCGGTTTGTGAGATATCATAGCTGCGGGTGCTGTGAGGCACGCATGGAGCAGTACTCCCGGGAGATGCTAGACAGCGCCCTGCTGACCTTCCATGCCGAGCTTGGGCGCTACGACTGGGTGCCTTCCACAGCCCTGGCAGGAGGGGGCGATGCTGATGCAGATGGAACGACTGTCCTCGCACCTCCTGTGAGGCGGCGCCAGCGAGGCGTCGGCGGGCTGGCTGCACCCACAGGCGAGGAAGGGCTTGGCAGATATGGAAGATTACGGAAGTGTCTGTCGAATGCATTCAGTGCGGTTCAAGCGTCCGAATACTGTAGCAATCATGCAGAGTTGCGTCTTGTAAATGCTGCCCCCTGAGCTGTCCAATGCAATGCAACGGAAGTTCCAGGCCTTAGAACTCACTCGGCACCGCCCGCTGGCGGTCCTTACCAACGACATTGTTCAGGCCGGCATGTGTTTCCTTGTTTGTTCAGAGGTTTACAGCCAGGTTGCTCTTCCCAACATCGTCGTCGAGCGAGTCCATTTGTAGCCGTAGTATCAGCAGCAGCAGGAGTGGTCGTGGCCCGAGCAGTAGCTGTGGAGTAGGAGTAGTAGTGATAGTAGTAGTAGTAGTAGTAGTCGTCGTCGTCGTCGTCGTAGTAGTAGTTGCTGTTGTAGTAGTAGTTGT